CAGCGGTGCGGTGAATTCTAGGGCAATTTACGTCCTCTACCTCGCTGTGAGTTCTTGTCAGCTTCAAACACCATGTCAGCTTAGTCTGCTTTTTTTTTCTCTCTCCATTTAATGGATTGGAGACGCCTCAAATTCCCATTCCTCATCATTTGGTATCTCCCAGATAACAAGACTGCAACGAGCAACCTCATTCCATTCCAGTTTGACTTCCGCCAATTACCAATAGTAATCATGACCAATGCTACAAACTCACAGGGTTTAAAAGGACTTAAACTTGGGAGTTGATTTGAGAGAGAGAAAGAGAGAGAGAGAAAAAAAATATTAAGAGGTAAGGCAAACGTCTTCATGTGGAACTGTTTCATTTCCAGTTAGCTAGGGGAAAAATGTCTCAGGAACATACCAGCAGGTAAGAGGTTGTGTGAGTAGGCTAAGAGATTCAACTCTTATATACGGATAGTGACAAGAGCGACAGGAGACCTTTGGGGAAATGTTTTCCACCTAAGGCTGTTGCGACATGAAATGGTGTGCCAATTAAGACGATAGATGCAACAACAAACAACAACAACTTGAACTTTCCAGCACTCTCCGAGCAGGGTCGTGTCTCAGAGAGCTTAACAGTGGCGGAGCCTGACTCCAAGCCGAGGTGGGGGAGGAAAGGGACCGTAGGCTTGGTCGAAAAGGAAGGTTTTCAAGAGGGGCTTGAAAAAGGGGAGAGGGGAGGCAAGGAGGAGGGATTGAGGGAGAGTGGCTGAATGCGGGACATCCAGCGGTGGAGTGGGGGGGCACTAGGGACAAGTAGGAGGCAGTGTTCATTGTGGGTCTTGAGAGGGTGGTGAGCAGGTACACCAAAGATAAAGGACCGAAGGGGAATAGGGTTACAAGGGAAATTTAAATTACGGATTCACATTTCTGTTGAAAGGAATCTCGAGGCACTTGACAGTCAGTCCTCGCTTGGCAACTGAGCTGAGGGTTAAAACCGAGAGTTGTGGGGAGAGGAAAGATGACCGAAGGCACGGTCACTAATAATAATACTACTAATAATAACAATAATAATCCTTGCATTTGAGATGGCGCCTTATCACGGCGTTGACACGTCTCAAAGCGCTTCATGGAATATACTGTCAAGTGAATTGACTGTAATTTGTGGTCGAAGCTAAAAGCAGGTCTCTGTCTTCACCAGATTGGATGGGGCAGTGGGATTGAATGGGCGGCTTGCTCTCAGAGCCAGTATAGACTCGATGGACCGAATGGTCTCCTCCTGCGCTGTCAATATCGATGTTCATACTAGTTTATTGGGCAGAACTGAGCTCCCTCTCAATAATAATATCATCAGTTTCTTCTGTTTGTGACAACACCACTTGCTCGAGCCCCTAAACTCCCTTTATCTCCCGGTGTCTATGGATCAACAGCTCACTGTCAAGTCTGTTCTATTTCTGAGGACTTTCCCCTGTTAGAGACAGTCTCCCTTTATCTCAGTACAGATGGATGCAGGACCACTGTGTCAGTCTGTTCTGTTAGTCAGATCTTCGCTTGGAGTTTGCATGTTCTTCATCTTAGTCCCTTCATCTTAGCATCTCCATACAGATCGAGGTATGTCAGTGAGTTCCTTAGTTCATGAGGACTTCAGTCCCACAGTCTGTGTCTAAGACCAGACCATCAACCTGCTCTGTGAATCAGGACTCCAAAATGATGGGGTAGCAAAATAAATTTGATCATTCATCTCATGGCTGTTTGTGAGACATTGCTGTGCGCAAATTAGCTGCCACATTTACCCACAAATACACAGTCATTCCACTCCACAGTACATCCCGTGAAGCGCTTTGGTACATCCTCCTAACGTGAAAGGCGCTACACCAAATGCAAAGATCATTGTTATAATTAGTATTATTATAAGCTAGTAAGCAGATCCAAAAGGGAGTTTTCAAGGAATCTCTTTACCCAGAGTGTGCTGAAAATACGCAACTCATTGCCATAACCCATGTTAAAGAGCATCAATATTTTTTAAGAGTAAATTTGATGCATACATGAAGGGAGAAGAGAATAGAGGAGTATAGCAGATTGGAATAGGAGAGGTGGGGGCTCCTGTAGAGTATAAACACTGGCACGGACTAACTGCCAAACGGCCTGTTTTCTGTGCTGTGTCATTCTATTCCATGCAGCCTCCGTTATCCTTTAGTGCGTATGGAAGGAGTAGCTATCAAGTGTAGTGACTGTATTTTCTAGGCAGCTACGTGAGCCCACAAACAGCCACGAAGTCTGTAGTGAAACGAGCAGGAGGATTGTAACAGGGGAGGGAGGGGGTAGAGTGCAGGGAAAACAAGTTTAATTCCGACATTCCTCGAGCGAAACTACGGTACAGCGACACAGACTGAGAGATGGAGAGAAAGGGGAAAGCGTTATGAGCCTGAGCTGACCCAAGCTACAGCAGGGCAATGATGACAGGTAACGTTGTTTGAGCTCTGACACCAGTAATTGGCTTGTGTTAAAAGTGCAAAGTTTCCGCAGACAACTGGCTAAGTGGAAATAAACAGGGGTGTTTCCTCAGACCTGAGCCTTCCGTTGAGTCAAAGAGTTAAGCCCAATTTGACAAGCTCAATCCTGGGTAGAAAAATCAATGCGGACAGACAGGCAAGAACAGTGACAGGAATATGAATGTCCACCATGTAGCTTAACAACTCTCAGCTTCACAAAGACACATACACACGCACGCACACACTGCTGGAGACCTGGCCTCTAACCCCAAAGGTTTGCCAAGAATATCTCTGATGCGTTCAAAGGGCAAAAATGGGGCCGAATTTCAAAACAAGGTTGGAGTGGGTGGGGGGGGGGGGGGAGGAGGGGAGTAACACAGCAGAACAAAAAGTTGTTTTAAATGGAGCCGATTTCTGACAAATCAAATAAAAACAAATGAAAATAAAACGCAGACCTATTGCGTGTTCCCTGACCTGTCCCACCACCATCGATGCCTCTAATCATTGGAACCCACCCGCCTCCTCCTCCCTCCTCTTTATCTTTGAATCCAACCCGCAGGCTTGCCTCTTCGACCAGCCCATGCTCACCTCCCCCTTTCCCTTGCTTGGCGTCCAAGCCTGCCGCTGTGCAGCGTTCTGAGACCCGATGCTGCGTGAAAGGCGCTGTATAAGTACAAGCTGTTGTTGTAGATCATGCTTAGATCTTTATCATCAGCAACAACTGAGTGAAGAAAGTCCGTGTGGATACGCGCACACACGAGAGGCGAGAACAGCAGTGGTGATGAATGGGATGCTCTCACACCGCACAGCCTAGTTAATTTCCTATCTGTAAATGAATAAAAGATGGTTCTTGTCTATTTGACAAACCAGAAGACAAAACAGACGAGTGAAACCCCCTGTTTTATTCTGGACGGAGAGAAAGCCTGTGCTCCCTCCCCTCCCCACCCCACAAAAATGGTATATCAGCCCAACTCCAGAACCACCTCAATTTAAAGGCAGAATTTAAATGCGACAGTCAGTGATTCATCATTTCAATTGGTTATTGCTGTACGATCTCTCTGGAGGCTTATCGGAGGAATTTCTCTGCTTACAAATGGCATTAAAACAGCAAGGCCATCCTAACAAGTCCTCAGCAGCTACAGAAGCCAAAAATACAAAAGCTACGACGACTTAACGGTAAGATAGTACTGTGCAATATTCGGAAGCGACTTTTCTTTCTTTCCCCCAGTGTAAAAATAAATCTATTCTGCTATTTCCTATGGCAATTGGCTTTCGGCTGGCCCGATTCTATCCTCTTTTCTCCTGGCAGAAAGGCAGAGAAACTGAGGCAGGAATCCAACTGATTAAAACACAATCCCTGGGAGAGATTTGTCTATTCCTCTGAGCCAATCCTACTTGGAGATCGATTACTTTGCCTCCGTCCCACAAATCTGCCTCCTGACGAATACGCGTTGAAGTGATTGATCTGAACAAAAGAAAAATCGGGGCCTTTTTTCCCCCTCAAAAAAAAATGGGGCTCATTTTTCTGCAAAGAAATCTTATGGTTAGATCCAGGAGATTTGAACAAACTGCAGGTGGAATAAAACAAATAAACAAACAACTACATTTGAACCGTAGCCCATTCAATCATCAGATCAGCGTCAGTGGGCCTGGATATTTTCAAACCGTTAGGGGGAAACAGAAAGCAGCCTCTCCTGGCTTATTCATGGGATACTGCCCAAACTCTGATCACAGGCAACGTTACTTAAGCCCTGACACCAATAATTGGCTTGTGTTAAAAGTGCAAAGACTCCGCAGACAAGTGGCTAAGTGGAAATTAACAGGGGTGTTTCCCTAGACCTGAGCCTTTCGTTGAGTCACAGAGTTGAGAACAATTGATAAGCTCAATCCTGGGCAGAGAAATCAATGCGGGAGAGACAGCCGAGAACAGTGACATCGATCTGGGCCGGTGTGCCATGAATAAGCTCAGGAAGGCACTGAGAAATGATCCACACTAAGTGAGTGGTGGTGGCTGTGCACTGCACGTGTGTGAGAACGAATCGTGAGAGCGGGTGAGCGTGAATAGTGCGAGAGTGCGTCAGAGTGTGATGGTGAGCGTGTCTCAGAACGTGAGAAAGTCGGACAGAGTGTGTGCGCGAGCGAGTGAGGGCCAGAGCGTGTGAGAGTGACGGTAAGAGCCTATCAGGGCGTGTGATGGTGCGAGTGTGTCCGAGCGCAATATGTTTTGGTGAAAAGGTTGGAGATTTTACCGTGAACTGGCATCTGCCCACCGAGACGGAGTACAGTGAGAAGCAAACCTCTGGTTGCCTTGAAATTAAAAATAGAAGCGGCTGGGAACACTCAGCAGGTCAGGCAGCATCTATGGCGAGAGGAAGGTGAGTTAACGCTTGAGGTTGATGACCTTTGGTCAGAACGTTAACTCGCTTTCCTCTCTCCATAGATGCTGCCTGACTTGCTGAGTGTTCACAGCGACATCTGTTTTTATTTCCAGCATCTGCAGAATTTTGCCTTTTGTCTCTGGTACATTACCTCGTCTCCAGGGGCACATTGCTGTTTAGGACCCAGCTATCCTGCAGCTGCACGGACTCGGGTGTCGTCGGCAGCTCATTGGGCGCTGCAGACGGAGCGTGGATGTGGTTCCTCCTGTTCGTCAAAGAGTTCCTGTTGAGGGAATTGGCCGAGGAGTGGTGGTGTGAGAGAGTCTGGTTGTGAGGCGGTGGGAGAGGAGGTCGCAGAGTGGACTGACTGTGATGGTTCGGTGGTCCTGCAGAGAGAAGATAGACAAGCGTTAAGCATAACGGTTATCCACGTACAACAACAACAACAACTTGCGTTTAAATAGCGCCTTTCACGCAGGGTAGAGTCCCGGAATGCTCGACGGTGGCCGAGTCTGACCCCGAGCCAGGGGGGAGAGGAAGTGGGGGGGGGGACACACAGTAAAACTCGCCTAAGTCTAGTCTGTATCAACTGTATAATCGCCTAAGTCGTACACTTGCCCGAGTCCCTTTGAAATTCCTGTAACTTATTGCAAGTTTCACGCAACGCATACTTTGCATAAGTCATATTACGTGTATGGTCTCAACTGATAACCCTTTTGCGAGGTTTACCATGTGTCACACCCTGGCATAAAGTCCATTGCTCAGGTATGAAAATCCTTGTAGCTGTGACGATAAGCTCGAAAATGTTGTTACCTGGAGCACCAATTCAGTGACGCTATAAAAGCGTCATGTTAGAGTTACATGTCAGAGCTGTGGTTCGAGTACTAGTGTGACACACATGTGTGATTACCAGCCGGTGTCACCCAACCTTCGGCGAATGACAGAAGACCACATTGGGCAAAAGGGAGGAGGATCTATTGTATTCCACATCCAATAATAATTACAATAATAATAATAATAGTCGTTGCATTTGATGAAGCACCTTATTAAGTCCTTGAGCCATCTCAAAGCGCTTCACAGAATATACTGTAAAGTGAATTAACTGCGTATTATGTGGCCAAAAGGCCTCAGGACAACAATCTCACACCACGATCACACACCATCAGGCTCCCTGCTGACTACAGTGGTCCACAGATGTAAGGGATATGGAATCCACTTATCTCCTGTTTCTATTATTGCGAATACAAGTCCCAGTGAATATCAGTATGCCACCCGCTGCAAATTGGATGCGTTTTGACAGGACGAATCTTGAAAGTAGAGGGAAACTCTGCCTTTGTAACTCGAGCTGAAATTACTTGATATTGTTTAAAAGAAAAATATCAACTGGGCAGGGAGGAGAGGATGAGGAAGGAAGGCTCGTTAATAGAGGGCTCAAAATGGATTATTTGCAACCTACACGCTCAGCAACATAGAATAGCAAAGAGTGACTCCTGATAGAAATTGAAAGTGCTTAACACCGACACAACCACGGAGCCAGATAGCAAATGGTGCATTTTTGTCCATGGTAATGTAACCATGAGGAAGATGAGTTATAATAATAATCCTTGCATTCGATATAGCGCCTTATCACGTCATCGAGACGTCTCAAAGCGCTTCACAGGGTATACTATATACAGTCGTGATCTATTTCTTTCACCTGTGTGAGAGAGGAGGGATCTCTTGATTCTCTGCTGGCTGCTTGGCTCCTAAATGACTCTGTGCATTCTCAAACCCAATTCCCAAAGGATACCATCCAAGGCGGACGAGTGCCTGTATTTCGTTTCTAATTGGCATTGAGTTGTCAGTTTCACTCAGCAAAGCCACAAAGGATAGCTGGTGTGGGCTGTTTCAGGGTTGGGAATGAACGCACACTTGTGCTTTCTCTAACAACCCCGCTTCTCTGAAGTCTAATGTACGGCTTGTGAGCAAACAGTCAGGAGATAAGAGCTCCGCGGCTCCACCGAACATTTTCATCCGTGAAAGGGGTTGCAAGGGTTGGGCAGCTCATTTAAACTCTTAACAGGAGTTGATAAAACATTGGTGGTGTGCTGCAGAAGAGCTGTCACTGTGACAAAACCACAGCCACTAATGCACACGCAGCAGAACGGTCACAGTGTGGCTTTATAACAAACCGCATCCAGGAACAGCACAGCCAGTCTGGCTATACGTTCACACCCATCAGGGTTGAACACTTCCCATCACAACATCAGAGGACTGAATCAGTCGAATACACCTAACAGATCACTGCTGCGTCTAATGATGGCCATATGTCCCCTGATCCTGTCCAATAATAATAATAATAATAATAATCCTTGCGTTCAATATAGCGCCTTATCACGTCGTTGAGATGTTTCAAGGAGCTTCACAGAATCTACGGTAATGTGAATTGACTGTGTATTCTGTGGGTGAAAAGACACTGACGCTGACACCAAGAGAGTCGGGACAAAGGGAATATCGGAACTTCCATCAGCGGTTGATTCCGAGTGAATCGATCGCTGGAAATTCTCATCGCAGAGAGGTCACAAAACACGGGCCAGTTTCAGAAAGCGGCTGGTGATCAACCTCTCTCCCTCGGTAACGGGGACGAGGCAGCGGAGAAGAAAGAGAGAGAGAAAAAGAGGTGTCACAATTATAATAATAATCCTCGCATTTGATACAGCGCCTTTCAACGCGGGAGGACGTCTCAAAGCGCTTCACAGGATTGACTGAACGATGCAGTGACTGTGAAGTCACAGCGACGGAAACCGAAGCCTTGTGCGTTAAACATACGTGGCATCACTCGGCTTGTTGACATCACCTCAACGTTTGACACAAAGCGAGGCTGCTTTTATGCGCAGGGTGCTTTTGTGCGAGGGAACTGAAGTGCCAAAAGGGTCCTCGCTGCTGCATCAATCCTCTTCAGATAGGGTTGCACTTGACACTTCGAAACCCCCGAGCGTGCGACGACAATAGAGGAGAAAATCTCACAATAAAAAGCGGCAAATTAGAACAGAAAAACCCCGAGCGTCTGACCCGATAGCTGTTAGGAGATGGAAGCGTGCAACGTGCACCGAAACACACGACAGGGTGCGTGGGCTGACCAGGGTAACAGGGACGGGGAATTATGTCAGCGGAGATAAACAAATTGACACAGATTAAAACAAATCGCAGGATATCACCAGTGGGAGAACACTCCCAAGCCTGCAAATAATTGAAGGAGAAGCATAAATGTCAATTTTGAATGATGGGTATGAGTTTTAATCTGTTTCCTTTTTTTTTTAGGTGGCGGGGAGTGGTGAGGGGCGAGGAAGGGAGGAGATGAAAGCAGAGCAATCATGAGAAGCCAGCAGAACGAGCCAGGCAAAGGTCGCGCTCGGAGAGAAAGAAGGTCGATGTGTGTTTCTTTCGAGAGCCGGGGAATAGATTTTTGTGCTGGGGCGAAAATGCTAAGCTTCTCGTCCGGCTGTTGCAGCGCGGAGAGCTTTGATTGATGTGCGGTGGTCGCTCTGAGGTCGAAGCATAGTTCAGGCTCCTTGCTACGCTATCCATTCTCCTGCCTGCAAAGAGGAGCTCCAGTCACTTCATCAATACAGCGCGGCCTCTTTGCTATTCGCTGTCACCTGATTCACGGAGTCCGTTGCAAATCAGCTTACGATTCTGCTGTTCAGTGGTGTGCCACCTGCTTTTGAAACGCTAACTATAATAATAACGATAATCCTTGCATTTGATATAATGCCTTATCAAGTCGTAGAGACCCCTCAAAGTGTCACAGCATATTGTGTATTTTGTGGGCGAAACTCCACAACCAGTTGCGCACAGCGGTGTCCCACAAACAGTTGTAGATTGAGTGGAGGGATTATTACCCCCAGAAAGCGATCCGCCAAGCGACTAAGAACTGGGTTCCTACTTACTGCCAGAAAAACAGAGGCGTGTGGAATAAGGAAACTTGCCTAAGTTGTTAAGGTGAAGAGAGCAGATGCCACCTTTAAAGGTGTGGGTTCAGGTAATCTCTACACAATACTTTCTCCCGGGAGATCATAGAATCACCGTACGTTTACAGCGAGGTTTTAGGGCTTCTATTCAATCAACAGACAAAGGATTCTTCACCCCCGTTAGTAACAAGACGAGGTATCAAGTCTACATTTTGCCTCTCATTCCTTCCCCTGAACAACACAGTAACGTCAAGAATACAAATTATTTGCCTAAAACCTTTTTTGCCTAAAATTTCTCTTTAAAAGAAAACGAGGGTGCAACAAGAACAACAATTTGCATTTGCGTATCGCCCTTCACACTCGGCAGCATCTCAGGTGTTTGGGAGTAGGAATTAGGTTAATAGGAATACTGGGGAGAAATTTCACTTGAGTCTTTATATGCGGGGGTTTTAGACTGTCCAGAATTTGACAAATCCTAAACTACAACCTCAACCTTGAAGCCAAATTTTCTACAAGTTCCTTTTTAAAGAAAACGAACTTGAAAGTTAAAGCAGAATTCAACCGTTCGCGAAATTCTCCAGACATTTTAAAAAAGGTTACGTCAATAAGAGTAAATCTAGATCCAGGTGGAATGTCTCCTCAAACTTGCTTTAGCGACCGTTTGCTTTAGATTGGAGAACACGGAAAGAGAAGCCTTTCCAATCCCACACAGTTCATACACTGGAGAAATATCTGGAGATGAGCCAGTGAATTCTACAGAGGAAATCTGCAGTGGAGTAATTCATCTGAGAACGATATATTGTTACTCCTGGAATCCCTCCAAGTTTCGTGGGGATGAATTTTCCCAGGACAGTTAGTACTCAGGACTTATACAAGAAGCTGCTTTACTATTGCTACGTCCAGTCATCAGAATCCAAACATCAAAGGCTTTTTACGGAAGATAATTCTCTCATCCGATCCCTGAACTCTACTCTTCTGAACTCAATGATGAGAAAGAATTTAAGTGCCTCTCACTGTTTAATTTAAAGAAATGAGATACACTTCGGGTTTTCCATTTGTATTCTGTCAGGGCTATGAATTAACCGACAAGTTTTTACTGTCAATTTACTGAAGTCATTCAGAGGCCCTGGCCGGAAGAGAATAGAAAATGTTTTGCCTGGTCAGCCAGGGAACTATACTCCCATTAAAACAAAAGAACACTTTATTTTAATTTAAACCACTAATGGATCCCTTTTTCTCTCTCTCTCTCTCTCTCTCTCTTTGTTTTTCACTATGTTGAGAACCTGATCTCACCCCAGTTTTCAAGGGAAGACCAGACCAATTTGAAGACCAATTTCGCCTCAAAGAGAATCTCAGGACAGACCGCCAGGAAATTTTTCTTTCCGTCCGCCTGTCAGACAGGCCAGTCAGACTTAGCCTTGGTTTAACATCTCATC